ACCCTGAGGACTCGGGGCTGTGGTTACCCTTGTTTCGCAGAGGACCGAGCAGAGCTGGGGATCCTGCTCCCGAGATCACAAGGTGGACGGAGCATTCGAACGCAGGGCTGGGCACAGAAAATCTGAGATGGAGAGGGGGAGACACCCGGGAAGGAGGTCAAGTCTTTGGGACGCACGTGGGCAGACCCCCTGGGTGGCTGAGGACCCTCTCCTCCTGTCCCCCGCACCCGCAGATTTCTGCTGCTCCCATGCACTGGGCATGGTCAAGCAGGTGGAGCGCCTCAGCCTGGGTATCTTCCACCCTGCCTTCGCGCCCATCGAGCACATCAGACAGCAGCTGCAGGACTTACTGCCCACCGACATTCATGTCCTGGCCTCCCAGCGGCTGGGCATCTCGCTGACCCGCTGGCCCGATGGCCATAACATCATAGTCACCGACTTCGCGACCCGCAGGGAAGTCATCCAGGTGAGAGCAGGGGTGGGACCCGGGCCCTGGAGACAGGGGACTGGGTCCCATCTCCTACCAGGGACTTTCAGGTGCTTTCCAGGGGCAGACACTCCTTGGGGGTGGGATGACCTTAGGCTTGGGTTTGCTTACAAACAAGACAGTGGAGGTGCAGAGAGGAGCCACAGGGTGAGTGCGGAGTGCCCATACTCCCGGCTTGCTTTGGGAAGGCCCCATGGCTGCACACAGAGAAGGGTATGGCCAGGGAGGGGGCAAAGTCAGGCTTCTGTGCTCAGGGCCCCTGAAGGGGCTGCTTTTCCAGAGGCGTGCCTGCCCACGATGGAAGAGGAAACAATCCAGTATTGTTATAAAACAGGAGGTTGTGACAGAGAGCCACAGGTCGGGAAGAGAGGCCGGTGACAGGCTGTGGGGGTGTGCAGGCGGGCTCAGTAGGGGTTGGGTCCCCGGGAGAGCTCAGGCAGGTAGGGAGGCAGGTCCCTACCCTGGAGGGCCTCAGCTCCCCCATCGCAGCTGTGCCTTCCCTTCCTGTTAGGGTCTGTGCCTTCCACCCAGACTGGGAGCCCTAATGCAGAACCTGCTTCACCTTGCTGACCCCAGCCCCCAGCCCCCAGCATGGGGACTGTTTCTGAGTCTGTGCCTCTGTGCTGATTGGAATTCGTCATGTGTACAAGAGAGGGGCCAGTCCCTTGCTGTGTCTTGATGTCCACTGGCTCTTGATGTCACTGACACCTAAAGGGTGTCCCAATGTCTTTGCCTGTATGGCACATAGCACAGGACCTGGCACGTAATAGGTACTCAGTAAACATTAGCTGCTGTCACTGCTATCTGTGCGAACAAGGCTCCCACTTGCATTTCCAACTGGTTAGGGACAGGATGCCTTCTGCATTTCCCAGAGAGGGTTGGAGGCATATTTCCAAGGAGACCTCGAGACAAGGTTCCATGCTTGATGAGTTTGGTAAGCTCTACATCAGTGTTTCTCAACCAGGGGTGATTCTTTTGCCTCCCCATCCCACCCCCCAGTGACATCTGGCAACGTTGGAGGCATTTTTGGTTATCACAGCTCTGTGTGGGGGGCACAAAGTACTGACACTTCGTGGGTAGAGGCCGAGGATGCTGCTAAATATCCCACGGTGTTCAGGACAGCCCCCTCCCACCCCATCTCCCACTCACAAGGCAGAATTCTCAAGCCCCCAATGTCAATATGTTAAGCATCATTTTCACTGCAGGATTTGTCAGAGCCTCTGCTGGGAAGGGCACAGAAAATCTGAGATGGAGAGGGGGAGACACCCGGGAAGGAGGTCAAGTCTTTGGGACGGGCGTGGGCAGACCCCCTGGGTGGCTGAGGACCCTCTCCTCGTGTCCCCCGCACCCGCAGATTTCTGCTGCTCCCATGTACTGGGCATGGTCCTGGGCATGGGAAGAGTGGACACAGTGTTTCCCAAGTGGGTAAATAAGTCAGGGTTTCTTCTTCTTCTTTTTTAAATGTTTATTTATTTATTTTAAGAGAGAGGGAGAAAATTCCAAGCAGGCTCTATGCCGTCAGCTCAGGGACTGACTTGGGGCTCCAACTCCTGAACCGTGAGATCATGACCTGAGCCAAAATCAAGAGTCGGATGCTTAACTGACTGAGCCACCCAGGCGCCCCTTTTAAGGTTATTTATTTATTGAGAGAGAAGTGAGAGAGAGAGAGAGAGAGAGAAACAAAGAACATGAGTGGGGGAGGGGCAGAGACAGAGAAAGAATCCCAAGCAGGCTTTGCACTGTCATTGTGGAGTCCGATGCGGGGCTCAAACTCACGAACCGCCATGAGATCACGACCTGGGCTGAAACCAAGAGTCTTACGCTTAACCGGAAGTCAGGGTTTCTTATTTGAGATGCCTCTGGCTGAATCGGTGTTCAGGGAGCACACCGTGGGAGGCATATCTAGATTGTTGGTGGAGAGTTCCTGCCCGCTGGGTGAAGGGGAAATGGGTACTTGGTGCCTCTGTTTGTCCTTGGGGGAAAGGGAAGTCCCAGCAGCAGTTTCGAGTGAGCAAGGACCCATCGGCAGGAAGACGAGGGTGGGTGTCATGACAGGCTTGCCTTCAAGTACCTTCTTGACCTTGAGAGCTCAGCTGGGACGTGACACCTCTCTGGGCCTCATTTCCCTTCCCTGAGCACAAAACTCATGCCGCGTACTTCGCAGGCTGCTCTGCCCCGAGCAGGTTCCGAACAGCAGGAGTGTGAACAATTGTGTTTCCACTTACTCGTTTTCCCAGGCTCTGGTCTGTACTTTATACATTCCTTTCTACTGTGGGACGATCCCCCCCGAATTCAGAGGGGAGGTAAGTGCACTTGGGGGGCTTAATGACTGAGTCCCCGCCCCGCCCCGTGCTCTGGATGGCCCAGTGTTCCTAGCACTGACAGCCGTGTGGGGGGAGGGAACCCGTGCCTCTTGAGCACCTGCTGCGTGCCAGCCCTCCACCCCAGATTCCCTGCTCCTGGGGGGGCGGTGCTCAGAACATCCTGGGCTCCGGTGGACCCAGTGGCTCCGGGGCAGCTGGAGGTCACCGGCCGCAGCCCATTTCTGGCCGGTGGCTCCACGGCGGTATGGGGAGAGGGCAGGCATCCTGAGCAGACAGCCCACCCGAATTGCAGCGCTACTTTGACGGGGGCCTGAGCAACAACCTGCCCTTCGCGGACTCGCCCTCCACCATCACCGTGTCCCCTTTCCACGGGACAGTGGACATCTGCCCCCAGAGCACCTCGGCCAGCATTCACGAGCTGAACACCTTCAATGCGAGTTTCCAGATATCCACCAAGAACTTCTTCCTGGGGTTTGCCTCCCTCATATCCCCCGGCCCTGAGGTAGGTCTGGCCCCGGCACCCGCCTGGAAGGTATAAGAGGCTTGGTAGGTAGCCCTTCTGCAGCCCAGAAGCAGCAAAGCCAGGTTCCAAATCCTCAGCTAGCCCAGACCCGTGCTCTGAACCGCCACCACCCTAGACTGTGGCCAGATTGACCATCCCCGTGGAGGCGAGGCAGAAACACAGACAAAGGTGGACAGTAGACTTACATTTCCTGCTTTTTTTCCCCTGGTATTTTGGGGAAATGGGGAATTTGACAGCAAATGGTTTATCCCCATAACACACCCAACCGTGCCTTGGCCTCCCCTGTTCCTTCAGACGTGTTTTGGTTCTGTCGTGTTTTATTTTGTTTGGTTTTTTACTTTAAGTAAACTCCGTGCCACACCAGGGGCTTGAACTCAGCCCCGAGATCAAGAGCCACATGCTCTACTGAGTGAGCCAGCCAGGCACCTCGGTCCTGTCGTGTTTTATAATCTATGACACAAGTTCATGTTCCCGTCCTGTCCTCTCCCCTATACCTGTGGGGTGGGCAAAAAAATCTCAGCCCCATCTTACAGTCAAGGAAAAGCTGAGGCTCTCAGAAAGGTGGCGTGGCCTTTCCAAGGCCCCGTAGCGTGGGGAGGTGGAGCTCCCTTCGGGCCCGATAGGTGCCTTTTCCCCACTAGGGGAGCTCTGATTGAGACAGGCAGGTGTGGGCCCCCAGTTTCCTCTGCCGTCTCAGGCTGGTTCTGGAAATAAACACCAAAGGACCATGCATTGACCAACAGGGAACCAGACGATGTCCCAGGCATCCTGACCTGGGCTGAGTTATCCCATTTTCCAGAGGAGGGAACTGAGACCAGAGAGAGGAGAGTCTGGAGCAGGAGCCCCCCCTTCCTGCCGAGGAGTCTTAGAGGAGGGAGGTGACACGGGGTCATGGGGAGGGAAGCAGCTTGAACAGATCGCAGATCTTCAACTGGAAGCAGTCCCCGCCCAGCAGTGGGGGCCTTGAACCCTGCTGAGGGGCCTCTTGGGAGCGTGGGCTGGGCAGGGATTGCTTCCGGTTGAAGACGGGTCTCTGGCCTACGAACTGCCAGCTCGAGGGGCGGGTCCGGGCCTTCCTCATCCCACCCTGACCTGTGTGTTGGCAGATGGTAGCTGACAATTGCAGACAAGGCTACCTGGACGCCCTCAGGTTCCTGGAGAGACGCGGTAGGTGGCCGGGCATCCTGCTTCCCCGGGGTCCCAAGTGGATCTTGCTTTGCAGGTGTTTGAGTTTTTCGGGACCTCAGCTCACTTATTCTCTTCCTCAGCATCTACTCTGTGCCTGGCCTGAGCTGGATGCTGGGGACCCAGAGAGGATCACACATGTGCCCTGCTCTTGAACTGTTCTTAGTCCGGGGCGGGGGAACAGACCAAGAGAGAGACGTCTCCCCACGGAGATGGAGGGATGCTCACGCCTACGGTGTCAGAGGGGACACTGACCCAGCCTGGGGGGTGGGCAAGGAGGGCTTCCTGGAGGCGGCGGCAACAGATAAGCTGGGTTTTGACTAGTTATGAAAAATACGGAAAGGTTGGAGACAGAAAGGAAGAGGGCGGATGAGCAAAGGGACAGGGCCCAGCACCTTCAGTGAACACAGCTCAGTTTGGCTGCAGGAGTGTGTGTGTGTGTGTGTGTGTGTGTGTGTGTGTGT